TTTACCTTAGTTATATGAAACGACCAAACAAATAAGGTAAATTTTGAAATAAAAATAAATCAGAATTTAGACCCAAACTATTTGCACAGCCATAATTTTGAATCAGTGCAAATAAATTTGCATTGCAACAACCAAATGCTGCCTAAAGCTCAGTGTGGGAAGAGTGTAAATACAAATATGTTCGGTGCAAAACCTTGCATAAGGTTTTGTATTTCTAAATATGTTCATATTTGTATTTCTAAATTTTGTATTTGGGTTATTGAACATATTTATTTGTATTTGAACTCACACATGAAGCCTAAGGCTCAGTTTGGAAAGAGTACAAATGCATATAAAATATAAGGTTTTGCACTCTACACATTTGTATTTGTACTCTTTCCAGATGGAAGGAGTACAAATACAAATATATATGTACAGTATAAATACATACAAAATAATATAAAATATATAATTTTGCACTCTACATATTAGTATTTATATTCCTTCCAAACTGAGCCTAAAGGGTGAAGATACATTTGATATGGTTGAGAAAATGATAAGTTTACCAAGAGAATTAAAAATGTTTTATTAGGCTCCATTAGGAAGGAGTACAAGTACAAATATATATGTAGAACGCAAATTAAAACCTTGTATTTTGTATTATTTTATATATATTTGTACAGTACATATTTATATTTGTACAACTTTCAAACTAAGCCTTAGGCTCAGTTTAGAAGTATAGTGCAAAAACAAGCGTAGAGTGCAAACCCTTCTATTTTGTATTACTTTATATGTGTTTGTATTGTACATATTTGTATACTCTTTCAATAAACTGAACCTTAAAACCAAAATAACACCTGAAGCAGCTGAATAGATAGTAATATGTCATACATTCCTACCTTTAGCCCACTCAAAGAGCTTTGAAAACTGTCATTAGCTCAGCTTCTTCGACTCATGAAGGATCTTGCCTCTGCACAGAAATTGAGCTGCTTTAGAGAAACAAACAAATCAGAAATATTGGCTTACATTTCCTATCGGATTAGGGTACAGTCAGCCTAAATTGGATTTTGAATCAGGTTAGAGTTCGTGTTCAACCCATGGCAAACCCAATTCATTGACATTGTAGCATTGAAACACTTTAGTAGTCTTGGTTTAGGTCGACCGGGTTTGGCATCCCATTTCATTTAGTCAGGTCAGGTTTGGGTTGAAGTGATTTCAGGTCTCGATTTGGATTGAACCAAACCTTTCCACTGTCACCCCTATTTATAATTTATTATGTTAAATGTGTTTTGATGAAAAAAGATTGTTCTAAGATATAATTTAAAACCATTTATTATTCATTAAATCTTTTTTTTAATTTTTAATTAATGAAACAAGCCAAAATCGAAAAGATGGTCGACCGGTACAACCGGTGATACAAAGTGATGAAAACGGTTCTCTAAATTTGATAATACTGCTTTTAGTAGAATGTTCGAGGGTTAATGTGGGGTGGGAGATAAAATCGTAAATAGATTGAAGTTTTGATAAATCCCTGAACAAACATATTAAATTTCTTCTTATCCCCATTCATTGTTTCTGTTTTAATTTCTATTCCAGTTTCAGTAAGTCCTGCAACAATACTCATTCCCTCTGGCATCAGTTGTGAGTTCTTCAATTGATCAACGTGCCATTCAGGACATGAAACCTCCTGTTGGCTGTAACAACACATGAAGTACTGAGACAGAGAGGTTCACTTTTCCCTAGTGATGATTCTCCTTTGCCGTGCACATCAGCACATGGTCCTTTGAATCTCCTTTACTGCATTTGGGTTTGGCTAACAAAACATTCTACTAATATACTAATGGTTTTGGACTGGACCCCGTTCAGTCCAAAATCAATTTAGACAGATTGGACGGACCAAAAAGACAGTGGATTGGATCAATTCGGTCTAAAATATTTATTAGATTGGACTGGACCTGATCAATCCATAATAAATTTATATTGGATTTAGTTGGATTAAGCCAATATCTGATCCATTGATACAAGATAAGAATATAGGTGTCAATGGACTGGGTTTGGGTTGAAACCAATCTAAATTAAAATGAATTTGAATTAAATTAGACGGTCCAAACATTGAATTGAACCGGTTCAAAATGGGCCAAACTATTCATTGGATTGGATTGAATCTTATCCTTTTGTAATGAATTCACATTGGACTGGATCAGATTGGACGAAATCCAGTCCAATCGACACCCCTATTTCTAGCTGTTTTTAACAGCCTGGTAAATCACGACACAAATCAAATAGTCTTGATATTTAAGACAACACCCCAAAAGCTTAATGTATTTTCTTGTCTACCGGACTGTCAATAGATCTATATAGAAAGACTTTGCCAAACAGTCCCTTAGATAAATGATGACATAAAAGTCTCTCAAAACAATGCTTTTGAGTGAACCCAGACAAGATCAGCCAGTTGGGTAAAATGGGTCTGACCAAAAGCCGGGTTCTACTGGAATGTAACCGCTTTTCTGTTTGGGAAATGGGTCACTGGTTTAACCATCCGGGTCAATATTGGTTACATCATAAAAAATCCATTGACCAGGTCAAATGGTTCAATGCGGTTTAGTTATCTGGGTCACCAACCAAATAAACAGTTTTTTTTTCAACTGAATGTTTCAGGGCGAAACAGAAGCAGAAATGTGGTCGAGCAGCAGGTTGAATGGTCGGACCATCCGGTTCAACTGCAGGTTAAAAACACTATCTACAAACTACAATACATCCCTCTTTCCCCAACCTAAAAAAGAAAATAAAAAGAATTCTAGGTTGTCAAATATAAACTTGGAAATGATCACCCAGGCCAGAGAAGATTGGATCGCCAGTTCCAACCATCTAGCTTGACATCCGGTCTGATTTTTGGACTGTTCTCTTGACCCGATTCCCACCTTAACAAACTACTCTAAAATTTACCCTGAAGTCCCAAAGGGAATCGATCAAAATTGAGTGGAGTGCTAAAGTTAAAAAAAAAAGTGAGGGAATACTATGTACACATGTGATTGGAGATAATTTTGATAGGCATTATGGGCCTCACTTTTGTGTGCATGAGCCCATAAAGTGAAGAAGGTACCCTCAAAAGCTGGGGTTTTCACCCTTCCTTGTGGTGGCAGTGGTCAAACAGTAGAGACTGATGTCTCATTCTAAAGTAGCTTTGCACTTTGCAGACTTTCTTCTTTCTTCTCACTCACTAAAGAATTGATACCCAAACAACAAGAAAAATAACACCCCACACAACCCATTCATTATAATTTCCCCAAACAGCACCCAACATCCTATCATACCGTTATTGGAATGTCAAAATCACCCTTAAATTTGCTTAATTTACTAAAAAAATAGAGGAAATCTGGATTTTTTTATTATTTTTTAATGGGTCCCACGAATCCATGGAAAATCAGAAAAATGAACCACCAGTCTTTGTTTCTAGAACAGTTCAGCCTTAAGCGTGCTTGGGTGCAAAGACTGGTGCCCCCTGGTCCACTAAAGGCAGCTTTTCAAAGCTGTTTGTCTTGTACAGGATCAACTGGGGCATGATAGCGCCACAACCCACAAGGGCTACAAATCTGCAATTCACAACATTTGAACAGTACTGTCTCCTAGACTCTATGTTTACTTGATACCCAAAGCTTACAGATTGAAAAACCAATACAAAATTGCAGTCCAACACCCTGTGAGAACACAAAAGGACAAATTAAAACAGGGTCAACAACCCTATTTGGCTTTCTGTCTTTTGTGCTTTGCAAGGTTCTGGCCTTAGCATCTTCTGTAGCTCAGTAGCTCTCTCTCTCTCTCTCTCTCATGTAGAAGTGTTTATTGAGTTTCCAAGGTGAAAAAAAATCACCTACCACACAATCAATCATCTATATTTGTGAGCATTCTATGCTGATCAGTGATCACTGCAAACAATAAAAAAATGGTTTTTAACTTTTTGTGTTTGAACAAACAAGCAACAGGCAAAGAATGACTTAAAAAAAGGGCTTTTAAAAAATTATTTTCAAGAAAATCAAACCATTTCTTTTCTTAATTACTTTGTTTTCAACCCTACCAAACAAAGTGACAGTTTGCTGTATATTTTCATTTTTTTCTTGGTCTTTATATATTGTTGAAGAAGACTGAAAATGAGTTAACGGGTTTTAGCAGAATAGTTATTAATAAGCTATCAATATATGGTTTTGGAATTGCACAACTCCATGGAGAACAAGATCCATAGAATTAGAGAATTATTGTACTGCAAAGGGCCAAAGTTTGCTACCCCCCTGAATCAACCACCCCACCCTACCCTTTATAGAGCTAGCCTCTAGCCTTCTAGTTTCACAAGCAGTTGCAAGCTTTAACCCTTTAAGTGGGTCCCACAAGAAAACTTACCAAAATTAGAGGAATATTTTAGAGATTGCTTTATGTAAAATACAAAACATTTGAACAAGAAGATAGCAATCAGATCGTATTGAATTTCAGCACTTGCCACTTGGTATATATGGGCTAGCTAGATGACAATTAGCAGTGGCTTGGCCCCACATGTTGAAGGCTTTCCTGTGGCTTTAAAAACCTTTCCACGTGGCAAGGTTGTTTGTGGGCCAACACCCTTCTGCCCCAGCTTCCTCAATCGACCCCATTAGATGTACTTTTTTTTCCTTTTTACTAGGAAGGATGACACATGAACACATGAAACTTAGCTGACAAAAGTGAGACCCATTGTAACTGTTCCAACTTTAACCCAGTTACTAAACAGACTTCTACTTTTGAAGAAAAAGAAAAGAAACAAAAGAATATTGGATCATCTCAGCCGTCTGATTTGTTCATCTCTTGGGTGAGACCCACTGAAAGCTGAAAATCAAAAACTTCTTCATCTTCAAACTCAATCATCATTCACTTGAAGGTTGAATGGGCATTAATTCCACGCTCCAAATGACCCCTTTAAGTGGCAGTTTTGTAATATGATGAAAACGTAAGCCTATTCTCGTACAACACTGTTATAACATTCTCTCGTCCTTCCACAGTTTTTATTACACCGTTCACTTCTCTTTTGGTGCAACTCTCCGGACTCCGGCTTTCACTCTCCAAAGTTTCCCCCAAAACCCCGCGATGAAGAGACGAGAAAGCGTGCTTTCTTCGTCTTCATCCCGCCGGGAAACAGCGCCGGAAAACCACCAAGCCAAGAGCGTTGGCTGCATGTCAGGCATTTTTCAGCTGGTCTGCAAATACCAACAGCGCCGGAAGTTCCTCACCTCTGGTATTCCAGCGACTTAATTCATTCCCTTTGTTTATTTCGTTTCTGACGCGATAATATATATTATTCTTTGTTCTTTTGATTTTGGGTTCAGCTCGGAAACAGGAGAAGAACGATGATAACGGTAATTTATCTCCGGTAAAGCCTAAGCCAACAACGGAAAACAATGAAGCGGCTGTGACAGCAATTGGAAGAAATGGGAAGGAGGGAGAGGCAGTCCAAACGCTAGGAAAGAATCCTACTTCAGCCTGCGATTTCCGGAGATTCTCATGCGACGTGCCGCGAAGCCCAACATTGCCGGCGGAGATCAGGCGGTCAAATTCTGTCAATTCACCCGAAGATTATCGCCGCCCCCATCCGGTGGTGGCGCGGCTTATGGGATTGGATGAAATTCCGGCATCACCCTCGCCGGAATCAGCGGCAGAGAAGCGGAGGAAACTGTTGGGTGCGTTGGAGAAATGTGACGAAGACCTCCAAACTCTTAAGAAGATCATCGAAGCCATTCGGTCGGCGGATCAAATGCCTTCGTCGCCGGCGGTGGACAACGCCGGAGTCAAATGTCCAAGAAGTAGTCCAGGGTCGAGGTCTATTAGTAAACAATCGGCAGAAGGAGATGTTAGCCTTAAATCTCGAGCAAGTTCTGGGTCCAAACGAAGTTTACGTGTTGATTCCAACGGTGTAGATTGGAGGATGAAGGAGAGGTGTTCGGAGTTTAGCAGCGAGCAGCCGAGTCCCGTTTCCGTTCTCGACGACATCTCTTCTTCCCCGCTAATCTCCTGCGAGAGAAGAGGGCAGAGACATGGTTCGTTCCACTTTTCAATTCTTTTTGACTTTTTTTTCTTTTCTCTCACAATTAACAGAAATCACAGGGGACCCATAAAATAGATGGTCCCACCCTCTGCATGTTTGTCACGTGGCAAGTTGGGCCGAAGATCCCAAGTTTATGGTAAAGGATTAAGTGGGTCCCAGGGAGAGACGGTCAACAGGGAATGATGATACAGTCGAAAAAGAGACACCACTCCACATTGAATAGTGGAGATGCTGACCGTTGATCCTGCAAAAGGAAAATGTCCTAGTTGGAACGCATCAATTGGCGGTCCCCACTCTTCACCTGCCTCTCTGCAACCTGCACGTGCATTGTGTGTGCGGATCCCACAAGGCAGGAAGAAGAAGAAGGACGTCCATTGTTTCGTTACAATGGGCCAGAACTAGTCAGGCCCAATAAGGACCCAAGACTGCTTAAGCCCCTAGATCATAACAGGCTGGGCCGAAGGTCCAACTTAAAATCTCTGTCAATTAGAGCTCTACTAACAACACTAGTACATTACAATGCAGGAGAACTGAAGAAGGCAAGAGAAGAAAACATCAGCATGTCCTTCCAAAGAGTAACTCTTGAATCACTGCCGAAGCTCGCAAGTCGAAAAGGAGATTATCCGTGCCAGTATTTCGAGTCGACGGTGAAGAAATCGGAGCAGACATTGTCGTCGCCGTTTGGGAGTAGCAAAGCCATGATACAGAGTGTCAATGAAGTTTCCAAGGACATGGAATGGGGAGAGGGAAGAGAGTTGGTAAGAGTAGGATTGGTTTTACAAGATAATATATTTGGAGACTTGATTGAAGAGGTTGTTAGAGAGATGGGTTTGAGGATGCATCCTTCACTTCTTCCCTTTGAAGCATGTAGAAGAAGACTATGTTTTTAGTTCAGTTTACTACATATATGGCTAATAAAAAAAAAATAGCTCAGTGAGATCTCTAGAAATAAAACAACAGAAACACCCTCATTAAATTACTTGGGTTGTCAAGAAATTTGGACAATTTGTTGTAGAATTCAATAGATCCATGTAGGTTGTGGATGAAAGAGCTTGATTTACCAAAATTGCCTTCAATTTAGCATATTTGGTATTCTTTTCTCTTCTGATTTCATTATCTGCATTCATTGTTATCCTCTCTCTCTCTCTCTTTCTCTTTCCACCTCTACTGCAACAGTTTGCATATTTCTCTGACATGACTTGTAAAACAACCTTGCAGATCATTTCTAGCTGAATCCATGTTGCATGCAGGAGCGGATTAGCTGGAGACAACATCATGCACACTGACCTGAGCTACCTATCATGGCTAAACATAATGAGCACTGACATGTTCACTCGTGATAGGTAATTCAGCCGGGTGTGTATGATTTTGTCTCCAGCTCATCTGATGCTTCATCAGACTCACTCCCCATGTTGCTGAGGCAAAATTTGAACTTGAATTTTGGGAGAATTGTGTGAATAATCCAGTCTCCAATTTGTCACTATACGTATAATAAGTCGTCATCATCTAAGTCTTATCAATAATGAATCATATTTCAATCAAAGTTCAAAATATCAATACACTCAATACTAGAAAACCAGTATCATTTTTCTTTTTTTACTTTTTTGAGTCTGAAGTTTACATTATAACTTCACATGAATATTATTATTTAAACCCACCAATTAAACCAATTCAAAATATCCAGTGTTTCAGCGACCTGAAAACCAATATATATCCTATATGCACCAAAACATTGTAATACTTGAACCTTGGTTTTGACATTGTATTGTCATATACATGCCCAAGCCCAACCAATAGGTAAACACCATGTTACAAAATAGAATTCTTGTTTGGCTTTGGATCAATACATTGACTCTCCTCACGCTATCCAACTCTTGTTATGACATGAAGCATTCTAAATTGTATAAACATGGTCAGACCAAAATGGACATTCTGTAATTTGATAATTCTTTGCTTATTTCATCTATCAGCTGATACTTCTTCCTACTACTCTGAATAAATTTCAAACTCAACATTGTACAAGTGCCTCATAGAGTTAAACTAAAACAAAAAATTGCATACAATTAATATTAGATCTCTCTAATTCAAACAATAGGAATTATAGACCCAGAAGGTGTTGAAGAGTTCGATAATAATTCCATAGAGAGTATTCATATATCCATAGTTACATGATTATAGTTTGTTAAAGATTAATTGCAAAAACATCAGTTTGGATAACTGAGACAACATGATAGAGTAGAAGTCTCCACATCAGCTGCCACCTAGCCAGTTGGACTCGAGAGAGTTTGAATATGCCCCTGCAGAGTTCGGATTTCTTCCTCACACCCACCTCACAGCCCTTGTAGCCGCCGTACATCAGGAATATCTCTGTAGATGTTTTCAATACATTGCTACAAGGGATGTGAGGTGGGTGTGAGTATGAATTTTGTGAGGAGGAAATCCGATCTGATCCTTTGTGGAATGTAAACTAGACCTCAAAATATATGTGAGCAACTTTGCCTTTTAACAAAATGGAAATTCATATCCTAGAGTGGAAGATCAGATTGTCATGATATACGTGGCAAAAACATTGTCACACCATAAGATTAATTAAGAGCAAAGGCTACACCAGGCTAAGTAAAAGTATTTCAGGGCCCTAAAATACAAATATATGCAATGCAACCACTGAGTGGAATGGTTAGAAGTGGGCATAGCAAATTAGCAATAGGCTTTGACCCACATTCCTGTTCATTTCTTCTTAAAAAAAAAAGGAAAAATTTCATTTCATTGCATTTTACAACATATTTAAAACCATTAGGGTCCGTTTGATTCGAAATCAAAATCCTTTAGATTTGAAATCGGAATGGTATATTCTCATAGTCTGTCTGATTCAGACAAGAATGGAAACGAGAATTAGAATCAGCAGGAATGAAATTTCATTCCCAAGTGAAGGACAGGAAATGACCATTCCCTCAAATGGGGGAATGCTACTCCAGAGAGAATGGGAATGGGATTCCAATTCCACCCAACCAAACAGTTGGAACCGGAATAGCCCATTTCGATTCTGATTCCAGACCCCTATTCCTGAAAACCAAACGGGGCCTTAGTATTACTACCATTCGGATTTGATAATTCCAAAATATCCTTTCAACCAAACTGCCAAAGTGGCAGTGTGTGTATTAGGTATTATCCTGGGCTGGACCGGGATGGGCCCAGGCCGGATTATACACATGGTGTAAGGGTGTTATACTAGGCCCAGACCGGGCTTCTGGGTTTTACGGGCGTAAAGGATTACAACACTCAATTAAAGCTTTCTGGGCTTTCCGGTCCCAACAACATTATCATTCAAACTTAAAAGCAAAATGGGCTCACCTAGCATGTGCTTGTCCATCAGTTTAGCCGCCTATAAAGAATTTTTAGGTGTAGGGAAATAAATAAAAATAAAATAAAATATAAATTTCTTTTATTAATAATGACTACCTTCGAAATTCCAAAAACTATGTTGTGAAAACTGAGGCCCTAAACCAGCTAGTTTTGACCACATTCTAGCTACTTAGCTAGTTGCATTTCTTTGTTCAGTTATGCCCAAAGCCTCTTTTTTTTTCCTTTAATACCCTATCTACGTATCTAGCTAAATGAAAGGCCCTCTTGTGATTGATTTGCAATTTGGCCCAGAGAGAGAGAGAGAAGAATTAATGTAGATATGATGCTTTCGCTCTTTACTCAAAACTAGTTTAAATGAATTGATTACATCTTGGATAAGTCTAGGTGTCAATGGGCCAGAGTTCATGAATCATGATGTGAGACTGGAGGGATACATGTCTATGGGCCAGAGTTCAAAGGTAATGTAGATTTTATTTTGGGGGTTGCATGGTCCTAGATGGTCTTTTACAATGTTACCCTTTGAAAGAGTTTTGAAGCAAGCCAATTATTATATAAATAATTTATTTAAAAATGTTACAAATTCTATTTCTTAGATGTGTTTCATTGGTATTAGAACTCTTGACTAAGCATCATGTGATAGTGATTGATCCAAATTGTGAGTGATTCTTTGTGTTATTTCAATCAGAATTTGATACTATTGTATGGGAGGATAGAACTGTCATTTGGTTTTGTACAAAAGCGCCTCATGAATATAATCATAAATGTGTTATTGGACCTCTTAATCAAGGTCAAAGAGAGTGGAATGGAGATTTCAATCCAAGAACAAAGAGATAAGGCATGTCATTAGGAAACCCTAATGCTTAAGGGTATAGAAATCACACACCTCCTTTAAGATGTCTAACACTATATGTATGATATAGTAGAGGCCCCAAAAAGGAGAGCTTGATCAAACACACACAATGCAAATCGTGGAGATCTATCTACTTCCCAACAGATCCAGTTTTAGGAGCAACCAATTCATTAAACAAAGGGAGTAGTTTGGTGTCCAATATGTGAGCTGATTAACCTAATTGGATAATTTCATGCTTAAAGATTTTTCTGATGATATTGCATTCAGTTTTAAATATGTTCAACATCAAGAGCAAAGTATGTTTTGTAGAAGAATTAAAATAATCAGTTTTCATATGGAGAGCTTAGGTTAATGGTAAAATTGATTTAGTTTTCTTGCTAATTTTTCCTGTTAAATCTTATCAAAGGGGAGTCTAAATTGTCGAATCCTTTATGCAAAGTCATCCTTTGCTGGTTATGGAATTTGGGGTTTCCATCTATCCCGATTTCTTGTAAACTTTTCTCATGTGCAACTTGCCGCTTGCAGTCCATATTTTACTCCCAAGCTATTTTCATGAAAGAGACTAGTTTTAATTGAATAATGAGTAGGAGAGTTGCTACCAAAACTAACAACTAGAGGCTATTATCCATCAATTGAAGGTGTATACATCAATGCAATGGAAAGGTATGATATGTAAGTTCATACAAAAAAGCACTTTTGAGTAGAAAATTTCTATAGCTCTTCAATGGGTTTATATTTTGCTTTTTTCATAATGCAAAAAGTATAACTTAGTACTAGTTAGTATTAATTCTCAATCTATAAGTGTGTGTTTGGTTGGAAGCATTGATTTGTCAAATCATTTCCTCAAGAATCAATGATTTTGAGGGGTTTGACAAATCACCAGTTTCTCCAAGAAACTATGCTTGGTAGATAAAATGCATGCTGCAAGGCAATAATTTCTCCAAAAATAAAATAAAATAAAATGTAATTGTCACAAGATTATTTGTTTGCATCTTATTTGCATGGATATGGCACTATCATGTTAGAAATCAGTTTGAAAATCACTCCTAATTCATGAAGTTATCTCCCCATATGGGTCCAATGAGTCAGATCATGACACGTTATATGTGTGTATGTGTGTGGTTTTAATTTTGAGTTCAAATCTACGCCCCACAACATCCCACAGCACATCTCCGCCCTGTATTGTAAACATCTACCGATGATAGTACCAGTCTCGATGATGTCATCATCGGGAGATAGAAGTTGAATCCAAATGCATAATTGAGAGTTTCAACATTCTTGCCATTTTATGGCCCATGTTTAAAAAGGGAAAACATAACAAAAATTAGAATCTAGAAAGAAACTAATGTATCTGAAACTTTACTAGGGCTCAACCACTCTTCACTAAATCTCATAAGCTTGCATATCATCATCTTCATAGTTAAAATAATGCTCATTCTAATCTTGGTTTTCGCCAAGTTGCAAAACCAAAACCCATGTTTCTATCATTGGACCTTATGCAACCCAGCATCTAGCAAGCCAAAACCTCAAAAACTACTTAATTAATTAATCTAATAACCGCTATAGTTGATATTTATATCCGCAGAGAATTCATGGACTCTTGGCATGTAACTCTCACACTTCTATTCTTGCAGCCCCACGAATAACTAAAACAACAAAAATTGATTAGCTTACTTTGACATGGACTAGCTAGATTATCAAACTAGAGAAACT